GGTTGGCTCAGGCTACTATAGATTAGAGTCTATTAAATCTAACTTTCCTAAAATTTTATTAAGGGACTTAACTTTTTTCTTTTTTCTTTTTTTTAAATAGGTCTGGAAGTTGAGGTTTTCCACTCTTTTACTGTATTTATCTCACTGTAACTTGCTTAGCCTTTCATTTAAATAGGTAGATGAAATGTTACTGCATACATATTAAGCATTGAAATTGTCTATGGTGGCTTTAAGCATAATATAATTTTCTTGTTTATCTATTTTTAGTCAAATCAATTTTTACATTGTTGTGTCAGAGATCATGACTACTTCGCATGCTTATTTTAATTCAAATGAAGCATGAAACTTTACCCTATTCCCTTATATTAACTCCTTAGGAGTCTTTATGATTCCAGTGTATCTTCAGAAAATAACATACTATTAGATTCTATTTTCTAATTCATTTCACTATCCTTTTCTGTTTTATGGGTGAATTCATCACATTCACATTCATAGTTGTGATAGTTGTGTATTTTCTTCCATTCTATTCTCTTATAACTTTTGCATTCTTTACTTTCTGTACCCTTTTTACAAAGAAGGCAGGGAAGGAGGATTGTGCTTAGCACCAGTAATCTATGCTTGAGGCAGTTCGCCTCCACTCTCCTTCTCTTTCTCAGTCTCCTTGATCAGATGTCAATCATAAGCTATTATCTTTTCTTTCTTTCCATTTAAACTCTTCTTGACATCTCTTCTTTGAGGTTAGAGTTTGTTTTAGTTACAACTAATTCCTTCCAACATCTACTCTCCTTCTTATTATCCTCACCCCCATTCCTTTTCCTATTTCCCTGTTATGTTGAATGTATTTCTACATCAAACTCTTCCCTGCTATATTACTTTTTCTGTTCCTTTTCTTTTTCTTCTTTTAAGATCAACAAAACACAACAAAACCATTCCCAGATCTCTTTCATAGTTCTCACTTCTTTTACACTACTTTCCTCTCACATACTTACTTTATATGATTATTTTACAACTCTTAAACACCCCCCCCCCCCACACACAACTTTTGCCTCATTTCTTCCAGCAATTCTGGTTGACTTTGTGGCCAAACTCTGTTTTCCTTTGAGACTTTGCCTATAGGTATTTGGAGTTATTTTCCTCTCTCTGGTTCTGGCAACATAAATGTATCTTTTTAGTGAGAGTCTTCTTTTGTTTACTCATTCTTCCAACCTTACTTCTCAGATTGGGATTTTGGATTAAAATTAGCCTCTCCACACTTCTGGAGGGAATGTTGGAACCTTGTTTAGTCATTTTTTGTGTTGTGTGGGGTCCTACTACTTCTATCCTTGGATAATGAGTCTGTTCTTCAAGGCTTTCAGGGGGACTTACAAATTCTCAGTACGCTCTAAGTTATCTGATGTAGTGTAAAGACTGGTCACTGCCCAGCTGGTCTGAGCTTTACAGACTCCTGACCATGGTTTTAGTCTGGGCAGCAAAGCCATAGATTTGGTTGGACTTCCAGTAGATTGCTACTATCCCTAGTCCCCATCTGCAAAACTGCAGATTCAGAGAGACAGCACTTCAATCTCCCCTTTAGTCGAGCTCGCTCCCCTTTGTTACTCATTCTCAAGCCTCAAGCTGGTTCCAAGGCTGATTCTAAGGCCACTATCTCAGGTTGGAGACAATAGTAGTGGCTAACTTTGGATCCCACTCTTTGCTCAGTACATAGCCTTAGGCCAGTTTAAACTGGATTTGCAGTTCCTGTTCACTCCTTGCCCTGAGTCATAGCTGGAAGTCAGTCCCATCTGTGCATCCTCTCCTAAATCATCTAATTCTATGGTCAAATGATCATAGCTGTAGATTGACTCCTCGGCATCTTGAATAGCTAGGCTGTGTCCCAACCTCTCCCCCTCAAACTCCCCCCCAACTCTGTGACTGCCCTTGCCTTGAAATACAGCTTCAGATCAACCTCATGTCCAGTTGTAGGGTCTCCCTCCCCCCCCAAGTTTAAGTCCTGTTCTATGTGAAAAATGATTCACTGTTGCTTTTTGTTTGTTTGTTTTTTCCCTTTGGATTTCCTGATCACTACTTTATCGTCATGTACTCTTTGATCCAGTGACCCTGGCCTCCTGACTGTTCCATGAACAAGACACTCCATTTCTGGGCTTTGGGCATTTTTGTCTGGCTATCTCCCCAGCCTGGAATGCTCTCCTTCCTCCACTGGGCCTACTAACTTCCATAGCTTCCTTTATGTTTAGTTGTGTCTGACTCTTTGTGACCCCATTTGTGGTTTTCTTGGCAAAGATTCTGGAGTGATTTGCCATTTCTTTCTCCAGCTCATTTTATAGGTAAGAAGACCGAGGAAAACAAGTTTAAGTGACTTGTCCAGGGTCACATAGTTAGTAAGTGTCTGGGACTGGATTTGAATTCAGGTCTTCCTGACTCTGGGGCTAGTGCTCTATTTGATGAGGATAGGACCTAGACCCCAAAAAGGAAAACCCAACACCCCCCCACTCCCCCACCCCCCACCCCCATCTTTCCCAGGTGGCCAAATTAGTGTTCACCCGAGGCTATAATCAACTGGCCTTTCATTAAGGCTACACCCAATCTCCCAATTCTCTGTTACCCTTAACTGTAGCCTAGCCCTCCGTTGTCTTTCCTCCCTATGGCCCCAGGCCACTTCCCACCCTTAATCATATCTAGGCTCCATTCTCCCTTGACCAAGTGGTCCAGGACCCTGGAGTTCTATTACCTCATAGACTACTGGGCCACTCCTAGATCCTTCCCATAGTCTTTCTGTATATAAGGTCCATCTTGTCTCCATTAAGATGCTTAGATTCTTATAATCTAGCCAATAGCTCACTAACATTCAGACTCCTTAAGAGTCTGACGAATATTCTAATATGACGAATGTTCTAATAAACCTTGTCTTTGACTGAAAAAAGGCTTGGGTCGAATTCTTTCAGGCAGAACCCATGTGTTGAGATTTTGGGGTCCCAGCAACCCTAAACCCCTAAACCTCAACATATTCACAGCACCACTGAGCTTCTAGTAACTTCCTTTAAGTCCCAATGAAAATCCTTTTACTTTCAGAAGCCTTCATCAACCCCTCTTAATTCTACCACCTTCCCTCTGTTAATTATTTCCTATTTGCCTCTATATAACTTGTTTGTATGTATTTATATGCTAGTTGTCTCCCCCATGGCATTATAAATTCCTTGAGGGCAGAGGCTGTCTTTTGCTTCTTTTTGTATCTCCAGTATTAAGCACAGGCCTGGCATATAGTAGGTGATTAATAATATTTATTAATTTCATTAATTTTAATAAATATTTATTAATTGATTGTTTGAGTGGTTTGGGGCAGAAACTAAGTTGTGCTGCTTCTTCCTACTCCTCTCTTTTGGTTGTTCTCAGATCTGTATTTCAAAGAATGTAGAGCCTGAGGGAAAACTTAGTCAACCTTCCCTACCCTCAGGAAATTTTTTTTCCCCTTAGTGTCATGGCTTGGTCTGTTCACACTTTTTTTTCCCTTGAAAGAACTCTAGCAGAGAGAGCTTTGGAGTTTTAAACTTAGTATGACATAGCCCACTAAGATTAAGACTTTCACTGAGAGTAAGAGATATTGTTTGTCTTTCATTTTCAAAGAGGACCAATGGCATCATGGGGTGATGTCTTGACTCATGGGTAAATTGAATTTAAGTGATGCAGAATTGCAGTCTCAGCCTCACTCACTCTTCCAGAGTCATTGAAGTCCAGTGGCAAGACAAAAGTCAGCACAAATGGTGATGGCCTGAGATGCAGTGGATGAACTTGGCATCTTCGATGTCTACCCAAGCTCTAACACTCCACAGCACCTGCTTAAGCTGCTTTCAAGGCTGTTGGAATACATTGTTTTTATCCATCCATTTCAGTGGGGGAAGACTTAACAAGCTTGGGGTAGATACACCCTAACTCACTGACAGGTTTGAGGCCTGTCCTTTACCTTCAACCTTGTTTAACCAGTCTGCTGAGACGTTTACTGGTTTCCTGGAGTGTGGCCGTGCATGCTACAGCTTCTTAGAGCCACAGGTGAGAGTTGAATGCCAGGTGGACACCAAAGGTGGATGAGCAACCCTGAAAAGGACTCGGCAGAGTTGCCAATCTTCCTTGAAAACCCCATACACCCATGAATGAAGGAGTATATGAGTAAAAGATAGACTTCAGCTGAAGCCAAAAGCTAAAAGCAGAAAGGTGATCTACAAATCAGTGCTAGAAGGCTACACGTGCCGGGGGATTATCAGTGCTCTACAGAGACTTCATGCTCTGCAATGTCAATAAGGAGCAGGCCTGTCAGAACAGTGATGAAATCAGCGTTATAACATTCTTGCTATTAAAGTTATTTTTATTGTTATTAACCATGACCCTTCACCAGTGTATGAGTTGTGAGTTGCCCTTCCATTCCAGAGCGCCAGGCATGGCCCTGTGTGTGACTCTCCACATGTGGTACCTTTGTGTGTTTACTCATTGCAGTGTCTGTCTAAAGAAGAGTGGACCCCAGATTTATAGAGGAAATGTTTTATTGCTTTTTTTTTTACTTTGCTGTTTCACAAAATACCTTTGATCTGAATTAACTGTGTCTTCTTGTTGACTAGTAAAGGTGAGTCTATCAGGAGGAGCGTTTTATGACCTCTCATTTTGAGTGGCTTTGAAATCAGAGTATCTTGAAAATAGGGTAAGTTTGTCTGGTGGAATCCATTCTGAGAGAAGGTGGTGGTGGTGGTGGTGGTGGTGGTGGTGTCCCCAGGTGCTACAGATAAAATCATCTCAGTGCTGTTTACTATGCCACATGGCCAGGTAGGTAAAGGTGTATGCAGGTTCTGTATTTAAAAAACAAAAAAACAAAAACCAAAACCAAGTGACTTTAGGCTGCCCTCAGATGACACATTTGTAGCAAGCCTGAATATGAGAGCACAGGTTGCTGGGAAGGGGCGGGTCCCTCAAGTTCCAGGAAGGAGGGCTTAGTTAATAAGACCAAATGAGTTGGTTTCAGTTTCATACTAACTGGAAAAGTTTGTCCTTGCTGGTGTGACCACAGGAACGAAGCTGAGATTCACCTACCTCTTGTCCCTACCTAAGAATTTTAAAGACCTCCTCTCATTCTATCCTGGGACGGTAAGAACGTTTTGTGATTTTAACTGTACCCTGTTAAAATATTTCTTTAGTTAATTCCTGCCAGTTTCTAGCAACACAAGCCCCGTGCGGCGGCCGCTGTTGCTGCCAAACCCTTCTGGTCCTCACTCTGGGCTTCGGAAGCTGTAGCAGAACTGTACTCCATAGTGAATGATAGAAATGGGAGCTTGTAGAGCGATGGGGCTTCCCCTAGAGCATTTTTCACTGCATAGTTTCACCTCGGGACGTTTATATAAGTAGCTTAAAAAAATACACCCATACGTCTCTTGATTCCTCATTCAATCATTCTACAGCTAAGTTTATTTAGTGCATTCATTCATTTCTCTACCCTTTTAAGATTCAGCCCAACACTTAGTGTGTGGGGGGAGGGGAGGAGGCGACTCGGAGGTAATCTCTATGTCCTACTATAGTGTGGAAACTGCCTTTTTTTTTAGACTGATTCCTGCGCTGCACCCCTACCCCAGTATTTCCTCAATATTACTCCTCCCTTTTAAAACTTGCTGGGGTCTGTCATGAACAGCAGCAGATTGAGAGCTTTTAAAAGGGGAAAGTTTTAACCTACACTTAAAAAATTTTAGGAAATGAGCTAGTTGCTTTTTTGCAGATTGAAGCCCTGCTTGTCCCTGGTCAGCAATCGATCAATGAGGGGGTCTCCCAGCACAGCAGCAACTCTGGGTCTTAATATTGTTTGGGAAATCCAAGGGAACGACAATAAATCTCAAGAAAAACATTTTCGTCACATGATCATGATTAATCCTTAGGGCTTGTGCCCGTGCCTTACCTAGCTTTATAAGTGAAATGAAGCAAAGAGAACAGAACAAGTTCATTCCTCCTCCCCAGACTCACCTCTTTTGGCTTTCTGCACCCAGAAATAAAGGCAGGGGGAAACCCTGCAAACTTAACTTTAAACACATGCAAACACACACATACGATTCTAAAGGGGTACGTGATGAAAGCGAGACTTACTTGAGTCTAGGGGTGAGTTGGAAGGTGTGCGCTATTGGAAGACTCAGTTTCAAACAGGCAGGACGCAGGCTAGGAAGTGTGCTTGGGGGTGGGGATGGGAGTGGGGGAAGGAAAAGGGAATTGGCAGATGACATTACACTGCCTGAGAATTAGCCAGTTCTTCAGATTTCAGTATGTGACACCAAACAGGTGTAAGGTCAAAGATAGTGGCTACAGGAAGTCTAATAGAGATGATTTGCTTATGCATTCATTACTAATCTGTGCATACAGTAAAGCCTGCCTCCTGGGAAAGTCTGAATCCAAGAAAAGAACTTTTATTTTTAATGTGACTTTGTAAAAAGATTATCTTATTTTTTGTGCTTTGTGCCTCTGCTTTGGTTTGTGAAAAAATGGTCCCCACAGCAATACAGAGCTTCATGTCAATGGGGTTCTTTCTTTCATATGTTCCTCCCACCATGCCAGCACACTGTTTGGTAGCCGCAGATGTCTTCGGTTCAGGCCTTAGAGTTACCATTTGTACATTATTTCAAGGACAAGTCTAAGACGCAGAATAGTTACAGGTTAGCAATGACTGAGGGGACACGCTTATTGAGAAATGAAAATGAAACCATAGGTCCTAACTCCCTTTCCTCCCACCTGGGAGGGGAGTAAATAAGCATAGGTGGATTGGCTTGAGAGTAAGACCATCAAGTTTAATATTATTTACATAAGAAATAGTTTTGAGAGTTCCAAACAATTGATTTATAAATCAACCTTTGTTCTGGAACACAGCTTTATAAATTAACGATTTCATGTGCCGAAGTACCTTGCAGGCAAAACTTATAAAAGACTCTGCAGGTATAACTTGAAGATAGATGTTATCTCACAGCTTTAAGAGAAAATGGAGCCTTAACAAAATAAAGAATTGGTCTAGCCTCATTGGCAGAACCTGAAAATAATAAAGAATTCTTGACACCCAGGCTTGCTGGGACAAGGGTTCAGTTGTTTTTCATTTTCCATGACCTCATTGGGGGTTTTCTTGGCAAAGATACCACAGCGGTTTGCCATTTCCTTCTCCAGCTCATTTTACAGATGAGGAAACTGAGGCAAACAGGGTTAAGTGACTTGCCTAAGAATCCTACAGCTAGAAAGTGTCTGAAGCCTCATTTGAACTGTGGTCTTCCAGGACTGGTGCTCTATTCACTTCACCACCAAGCTATGCCTTCTTGCTGCTTCTCTTCACTACTAAGACCTTCCCTACTATGCCACTTTCTCCTGGGTAGAACAGGTAGGGAAGGTACCATGAACAGAGATTAGCATAGGGATAGGTAACCTGCCTTGATGGCAGGGGATTCAGTGGATCTAGGGCTTGTAAGCAGTCACCTTGTAGGCTTGAGAGTGAGACCATCATGTTTAATATTGCTTACATGAGAAAAATGCTTTTCAGAGTTCCAAACAGTTGACTCGTGAATCAGTTATTTGCAATGATTGGCCTTTGACTAGAACAGGTAATAAAAAAGTAGTGATATTTATGTCATTCAAGGAAAAGAGATACCTTATATTCATGGATATGCTCTGCTTCCCTGTTATCTTAGTTGCTTTACTACATAGTTCTTAGTATCCCACTGGCAATGAGAATTTTGAACCACAGACTAATTGTTTGGTCCCATATAGGCTACCATCTCTTCAACTTCATAAAGGGTGTCGTACCCTTGGGATATTCTGCCTCTTTAAAAAACAAACAAACAAAAACCCAGCGATTTAGACTGGGTTCATTGGATCATAGATCGTAGAAGAGATCCCAGAGACCATCTCGTTTTACAAATAACTTGTCCAAGGTCACATAGGTAGGAAATGATAGAGGTAGTATTTGAACCCAGGTCCTTTGAATTAGGAATGAGTGTTTTCTTCATTATACTATGCTGCTGCTTAAAAAGCAACAAAACAAAACAAAAACATAGTCTTTAACAGCAGCTTTGAAAGTTAACATGAATATCATTTCGTGTTCAATGATACCAGAGTTAGTAGTCAATTGAATTGAAGACTTTAGGGCACTCAGATATGCTGTATGACCTTGGGCAAAACAGACACTTCATTGCCCTGGATCTGTTTCCTTATGTATAAAAAGCGGGACATTTCTTGAGAACATGGCTAATAGAGAAATTTGTTTTTCATGTCTGTCCATGATTGTAATGGGTTTTATTTTTCTTGCCTTCTCAAGTGTGGGAGTGGATTTGAAACTTCATTTTAAGTCTCTAAAATCCCTTCACTGGAATCTTTCTCCATTGCCTCTTAATTTTAGTGCCTTCCTTCTGTTGTTTCCCATTTATCCTGTATATAGCTTGCTTTGTAAATATTTGCATGTTGTCTCCCCCTTTACATTGTAAGCTCCTAGAGGGCAGGGACTATCTTTTGCCTCTTTTTATATCTCCAGCACTTACTTAGAACAGTGCCTGGCACATAGTAGGTGCTTAATAAATGTTGATTGATTGGAATTAAAAATAAAATAAAATTGTAGATAATCTGTAATGTTCTTTCTAGCACTAAATTCTATGATCCTTTGACAGAAATTTGTCAGTTTGTGGAGGATGCAAAAGAACATGATACAAAAAATCAGAATCTGCTGCTCTTAGAAAACACTTTTGTTTTTTCACCATATCTTTGGGAAGCTGGAGAATGACTCAGAGCAATCCATTAAATCCAAGTTTTGGGGGAATGGTAACTAAGTCCATGTTGTCAGATGTGTCAGAGCATGCTCTATTTGGGCCTCTCCCAGTGACAGGGTGGCTGTGTGTGGTTTGTTTGGGTGACTGGTTGTTAGGGAGATACAATTTCCTCCTTAGTGTCAGATCTGTCACCAGAGGAGTCATTGCAATGCTGCTTCTAAAGTCACCAAATGAAAGCCCTTTTAAGTTTTCATCTTAACAAGTGGAACTCCAGGGTCCTCCTCACCTGTTGAGACCTTCAGAAAAACTCCCTTAGCGCCTTACGTCCTCTGGGTGAGCACCCACCCTCAGCTAGGTCTCCAAAAGTCCAATGCACTTATTGACATGCATGAGCCAGCCAGCTAATTTAAAAGAAAAGTGAGAATTGGGGCTCAAATTCTTCAAATTGATCAGCTATAATATTAGACTTATCTGGCTAATTGGCCATTTCGCTTTGGCCATACAGTCACAGTCTGTGTGTAATGGCTTAATCCTTCTTATGAGGTATTTTTTTAGAGGTGTAATATTTCCTCATAACTTTATTTACTTGACATTGATGCTATATTTATTTATATATGTACTTGTCTTTCCCATTAGAATAAAATCCTTGTGAGTAATAATAATATGATATTGATAGCTTAGCATTCATATATACTTTGCAGTTTGTAACACATATACACACATATATAAATATATATAAATTTTGTGTGGGTGTATATGTGTGTGTGTATTTCTTATTTATTCTTCACAACAACCTTGTTAGGTAGGTACTCTTATCCCCATTTTTATGGATGAGGAAACTGAGGCAAAAAGAGGTTAAGTGACTTATCCAGGGTTATACAATTAATGTGTCTAAGGCAGAATTTGAATTCAGGTCTTCCTGACTCCAAGTTCAATACTATATCCATTATGTCACCCACTTCCCTCTGAGTAAGGATGCATTATTTATTTTACTTGTGTCCCTGGCACTTAGCAAAGTACTTGACAAGTTGGTGGGTGATTAATTAATACTTGTTGATTGACCAAATGTCCTCAAAAGATTAAATGTGATTGTATAGCTTTCTTGTTCTGTAGTACTATCCATGCAATATCTCAACTGTATACTTAGTATTGTGGAATTTTCCAAAATTTGGGAAGTAGCAGAATTCTTATGCAATATTGTTCATTATGTGGCAACTCAGCCTCTCTTTTAATATTGGGTTGTAATGTGGAAATGACAGAACAGACAGAAGCAAATAGGTTTGTTGTGATTTAACTTTTTTTTTTTTTGGTGAGGCAATTGGGGTTAAGTGACTTGCGCAGGGTCACACAGCTAGTAAGTGTCAGGTGTCTGAGGTCATATTTGAATTCAGGTCCTCCTGACTCCAAGACCAGAGCTTTATCCACTGCGCCACCTGGCTGCCCCTTGCTTTCTTTTTAAAGTACCTGTTGAATTGCCTGTGGTTTTCATGAATCTGGTATGTAAACCACAGGTGCAATGATTGAGCTTGCACTGGGAGTCAGAAAATGTGAGACCTTAGGCAAATCATTAAAAATTCTGACCCAGTTTTCTTTCCTCCTTTTGGTACAGAAAGAAGATACCTTAGTGTGCATGCAAAATGGATGCTTTGTATGCACATACTTATTGAATTGATATAAAGTGAGGCAGCATGGGACAGTGGAAGCGGCACTGATTCTTTATTTACTTGTTATAGGACCTAAATTCCCATACTCCCTCTTCCACTTATTTATTACCTGGATGATCTTAGGCAAGTCATTCTGGGCCTCCGTTTCTTCAACCACTTAAAAAATAATATTTAGTGTTTGAATTAAAGAAATTTACTGTGTAGCCAACTCTTTAAGGACTGATTTATTCCAAAATGTGAACTGTATTTTAATTCGTTGCAATAACTTAGTAAAATCTGAGATTCTATAGAAGTGTGCCGAGGCCTGTACTCTACTAATAAAAGGGACTGTACACATGTGTCTAGGAGGGCCAATTATTCTATCTAGGACAGTGGAGACACAACACAACTTCGTATATTTGGATGGGAAAAGGTAGGTCTTTGGTAAGGCTCCTGGTGGCAAAATGTCCTCCTTCATACTCCTTCAAAGGGTGTGTAAGATTGTAAGTTTCTTGAGGGGAGGGACTGTCTTTTGCCTCTTTTACTATCCCCAAGCACTTAGAACAGTACCTGGCACATAGCAGGTACTTCGTAAATGTTTATTGATTGATTGACTTTAGCCATCCAAATTATTTTTGGTTGTAGTTAGAGAGCACATTGTCTTTTCGTATCAGAAACCAGTGACATCTGAAAAGAATGTTTGATAATTTTTTTTCTGTTCTGTGATTAGAGAGCAACTTTACTAAATTTATTTCTGTTCTTAGAAGAGGGATAGCCAAAAGAAATTTTGAGGGAAATCCCTATTGATGATAGGTGAATCATGATGACTAGAATTAGGAGTGAAAAGATAGGTGAACTGAAATCAGAAGCAAATGATCTGAGAGTATAGGAGAGGGAGGATTTGCAGCTATGTAGTCTGCTAAATATTTATGAAAAAATGGCTCAACTATTAAAAGAATCAAATTCAGATAAAAGTAAATTAAGGGATGAACAAGAGGAACAGAGGTTAAAATATTACTTGCAGGTGGTTTGGTGGTACGCCCAGAAAACATAGTGGATTCGGTGGGGAAAAAAAAAAGTTTTCAGCAAGGTAGTGGACAGAGTATATGAAACTCTCAATCATTTATGTTTTATATACCATTAATAAGTACTGAGAAATATCAGAAAAAGCCCCCACATTCTATTATATCAAATATCTGCATTGACTCACCAAGGTCTATGTTAGATCCGTACAAAAAGAATATAGCCCTTTAAAATTTTACTAACAGAAATAGAAAAAGATCTGAGCAAATTGAAGGATGTGCCAGATACTAGGTAGCTAGGTGGGGCAGTGAAAGAAGTGCAGATTCTACCTCAGATACCTACTTAGTAGCTGTGTGACCCAGGGTAAGTCACTTAACCTCTTAGCCTCAGTTTCCTCCTCTGTAAATGGGGACAATAATATTACCTATTTTGCAGGATTGTTGTGAGGAACAAAAGAGATAACATGTAAAGCTCTTTGCAGACTTTAAAGTGCTACATAAATGATAGGTAGTGGTGGAGGTGTTGCTGTTACTTGACTAGGAAGGTTAAACATGGTAGTACAAATACCACCCAAATGAACATATTAATTCAATGCAATATTTGGTAGAATATCAACTTCTTGAGGGCAGAGATTTTGTGTTTTTGTCTTTATACCCTCAATGCCTATCACAGTGCCAGTTGTGGGCTTAAACATGTATTCACACATACCTTTTATCTGGAACTTTGATTTCATCAGTGTAGGGAACGTTGCTGGTGAGGAAACATTTCCCTATCAATTCAGAGCTTCCATTTATGGACTTAGAAAATTTCCCTATATCGCTAATATGTTTCATCAGTAATATTGGAAAGCAAGGTCTTCTTGGCTTCCTGGCCAGCTCTCTTTAGGATGCTATGCTGCTTCTCCCTGTGTGCCTGGTGTGTAACACTTAATAAATGTTTGTTAAATTGAACTTGACTTGGTGTGTATTTTTTTTCTGCTATGACATAGGCCATTAAATGTATTGGTTTCCAATTTGAATTGTTGTTCAGATAAGAAAATTAAAAAACAACAAGTCATTGCTTTTCCTATAATAGTTAATTGTTTTTCAACATCAGTTCACTTTAGATGTTGACCTTAGAATGTTCTTGAACACTAATTATTTCTGAAAACCTGATTACCTAGAAGGGATGAGAGCCTAGAGGCTGACTTAAAGAGAAACCAAATGATCAACTTGTTTTTTTTAAACAGTCTAGGTTATATAAAATACATTTTGTTCAGAGTGGGTTATCTCTACCAAAAAAAAAAAAGTAATTTCAGGGGGCCATTCCATTCAAATTAAGTTGGAATCATGCCTCAGAGTAATCTTTTCTTTTTTTGTTTGCTATTATATAACTGCTAAAGATGCAGGGTTTTTTGTATTAAGTCTTTGTGGTGTGTACTAACACCCAATAATGGAAAGGCAAAGATTTCTTTGCTTTACTCTGATTTCCCAAAAAGATATGGCATCTAGCATCAACTATCTTTTGGACAGCATAGTGAAGTCTTTGAGACTTTCATACAAGGTTTCAACAAGTCAGGAGCTGTGAAGTTAACCAAGATGATTGTATTCTGTGTTTTGAATAAACTTTTCTCTTTTAGCTTCCATTGAACCTAATACTAGGAGTTCAACTATGGAGAATGACACTAAGAAAAAAACTGAGAGACAAATGAAGACGTCAGCTAATCAAATGGTAAGAATAAACTTAATTCTTTTAATCGGTTGTTAAAGGACTTTTCGGAAAATAGTAAAAACTTTGATTGGAATTAGAAATCAGTTGAACTTTCTGTTTTATCATCTGTTATATAATCTTTATGTGAAGCTCTTTCCCTACCTCAGTAAGTAGAATATTTCACAGCAAACCTAAATAAATGCTTCTTTGATGGTTCAGAAGCTTGTATTGTAACAAGGCCAGTGTAAGAGTGCTATTTGCTTTCTCAATGGGTGTGGGAAGGGCTGGAGGGAGGAGAAAATTTGGAACTGAAAATAAAAATTAAAAAAAATTTAAGAAGACAGTAGAGTCAGGAATGAATTGAATTTGACCATTTTGACAGTGGCTAGCCCAGCCACTGGGCTTCAGTTTCCTCATCTATAAAATGAAGATTATCTACGACTGTTATGAGGAAAATACGTAGTAAACCTTAAAGTACAATATAAGTATAAGTTATTATTCTGAATATCAGTTCTCATTGCTCAGCTCCATAGATTTAAAGATAAAACTTGTAGGGTACCGAGCTGAATCTCACCTTGGAACATACCTTGACAATAGATTTTTTTTTTTTAGTAAATCTCCGAAGTTATGTGAGCTTATTTTCTTGTTACTTGTATCTTTTGTCTAAATGTTCAGTGCAGCATAACTTGGGTTCCATTTAGTGGCTCCTGCCCAGTATGGTACTTTGCTTCTCTGAGTGTACAGTCTGTTGACAGCACTTAGCAAAGTAGATGTTCCTTAAGTAATTGTTGAATGAATGGATGGTTGGATGGATAGATGCTAAAGTTTAAATGTGTAGTTTCCCTTTCCTTTTCTTCAGCTTTGTTAATATGACTTTCATATCCACAGATGAAAGATGAGTCTCAAAAGCCATCCTCAACTTAAAACTCACCAACTCCTATAGTTAGTGGCAATACAACATTTGGCGGATCTTATGATGTATTTTAATCATATTTATAGTTTTATTATGAAGATGGATCCTAATTGTTAATAAGTCAGTTATAAAGCTGAAACAATGTGCATTGTTGGGGGGCATATAGCTACTGAATGATTAAATATAAAATAACAGTAAGTCCAACACTCATTATCTACATGACTTTTTATTTTTGGAGGCAATCGGATCCCAGGATCACACAGCTAGTAAATTGTCAAGTGTCTGAGGCTGGATTTAGGTCCTCTTGACTCCAGGGCCAGTTCTCTATCCACTGTGCCACCTCGTTGCTCCAGCTATTAAAGAGACTGTTAAAGACTGTTTCCAGCTAAATTAGAATATTTGCCCTTTCCTGAACATTCACTGTTCTTTCCAGTTCTAAATTTTTGTTCATTTTGATCCCTCTTTCTGGAATGTCCCCCTCCATTTTTGCCTATGGAAAGCCTACTCATCCCTCAATACCCAATGCAAGCAGCATCTCTTCAATAAAACTTTTCCTGATTCTCTTCAGTCCAAAGTGACATCTTCCTCTTCCAAACTTCCATTGCACTGTGTTCCTGTTTCCCTCAATAACTGCCACATTTTGCCTCTTAAAGAGAACCTACCATACTTGAAATAAGAAGCATAAGCAAATTGAGCTAAAGCAAGAATTATCGGAATCAGATTGAGAAAAGAAAAGTGTTTATAAACAACTATGTGGGGCAGAAGGGTAAATTATCGACATTACAACTTGTTGCATTGTGGCATCAATTTTCCAAAGATGGATTGAGGGCCTAATGTTATGAAGACATACATGTTTTGTTCCAACCAAGTATATTAGCAATACATTAATGCTACAGAAGAAAATAAGTTACAGTTCTTCCTTGAATAATGATTATTAAGAGCATTACAATGTAGCAGCTAATGTAGTGTTCTAGTTTATCATTTGTCTTTGGCTGTAATTGAGAGAATGAAATATTATATACCTACATAGGTTTAAAAACTTATTCGATTGATCAATCAATAAGCATTAATAAACTCTTTTTTATTGTACCAAGGCCAATTCACTACAACATTACTGTAAATCATTACTACATTAAGATAGCTTTATAAAGTATTTGATGAAAAGAATCACAGAATTTGAGAATTGGAATGAACCAAAGCTGCTATCTAGCCCAATCCATGTGACAAGGGTTCTTAATTTGGGACTTGAAAGAGTCCATTAGCATTTGAGGGAGTCTATGAATTTGGATGGGAAAAAAAGTCTATCTCTTTATTTTCACTAACTTTGGGTTTCCTTTGTAATTCTGTCAATTTACAAAACATGATTTTGCAGAGTCCAATAGATTTTTACCAGACTGACAAAAGGATCCATGACACAAAAAAAGGTAATCACATATTCCATAAGATGAAGCTTCTTTACAATTTCATTCACCAACTACTGGCTGAAATCCCATTATGTGCTGTCAACATAAGATATGAACATAGATAACTACAATACAAGGCAAAATGTGATGGTTGTTGAGGGAAACGGCAACACAGTAGAGTAGAAGTTTGGAAGAGGAAGGTGTCGCTTTGGACTGAAGAGAATCAGGAAAAGTTTTATTAAAAAGATGCTATTTGCATTGGGTATTGAGGGATGAGTAGGATTTCTATGGGCAAAAATGGAGGGGAACATTCCAGAAAGAGGGATCAAAATGAACAAAAATTTAGAACTGGAAAGAATGATGAATTCAGGAAAGGGCAAATATTCTAACTTAGCTGGAATATAGGATACATGTTGAGGAAACTGGAGGTTAGTGACTACTAACATGATCCTTCAGGTGATCATGAAATGATCAAAATGACTTTTAATGTCTCTTCAGAATCGTAAGACTAAGAATAATTGACTATATCAAAAGTCCTCTTCATCTGCTCTTATGGCTCCTGCACAGATCACCTATACAGACAGATAAATGTGGCAGAAGTCTCAACTGCTCTTCTGAGTTCCAGAAATGCAGTGCTGACTACTTGCCATCAGCACCTGTATGTCTCACCAGTGATTCAAACTCAATTTCTGTTAAAACTACTCCTCAACCATCATTTCGACCTTCCATCACAATCACAATGCCCTCAACTAGCTTCTTCTGACTTGCCTGTTTCTACTAATGATACCACCATTCTCCTGGTCACTTGGGTTCAACAGCCCTAGAATCAAGGTTAATTTTCCTTCTTCATCATCCCCATATCACAAGGGATACATTGCATTGGGTATTGAGGGACCTCAAGGGACCTCAAAGGTTGTCTAGCTTAACCCTTTTATGACGAAACTGAGGTCCAGAGTGATTAAATGACTTGTCCAAGGTCACATGGGTAATGAGATACAGCACAAGAATTTGAACCCTGGTCCCCTGGCTCCAAACTAAGTGCTCATTCCACTTTATTCCACTAATGATAAGTCTTGACAAGTAGGTTTAGGAGCTAGATTGTGGAGGGCATTGAATGCCAGGTTAAAGATTTTAGCTTATTCATTGGGTACTAGGGAGGTTTTTGAATTGGGACATGATCAGACACGTGCTTTGACATTTGATCATTGACACGATCAGAATTGTGCTTTATTGATCTTTTTACAGTGTGTGGGATTTTTTAGAGAAGAGTAGCTGACATAATTTGAATTGAATGATGGTAACATATTATGTCTTGTATGAACTGATGTAAAGGGAAGTGAGCAGAACCAGGAGAACAATTTATAAATAATAACAATATTGTGAAGAGAAATCAATTTTGAAAGGCCTAGAAATTCTGATCAACATATTGACCAACCCTGATTCCAAAGTACTCATGATGACACATGCTACCCACTGCCAGATAGAGAGATTCAGAGTTCAGACTGATGTATCTTTCCTTTCTTTTTCCTTTCCTATGTTTTGTATGACTACAAATATTTATAATAGGTTTTGTTTTTCTTGCTTTTTCAATGGATGGGGGAGAGGAAGAAGGAAGGGAGAGAATTAGGAACCAAAAATAAAATAAAATTAAATTAAATTAAAAAAAGAGATTATAAAGCTAGAATCAAAGTGTGTAGGGGTGATATGGGGATGAAGAAGAAGGAAAATTAACCTTGATTCTAGGGCCTTTGAACCCAAGTGACTAGGAGAATGATGGTATCATTAGTAGAAACAGGCAAGTCAGAAGAAGCTAGTTGGGGGCATTGTGATTGTGATGGAAGGTCGAGATGGTGGTTGAGGAGTAGTTTTAACAGAAATTGAGTTGGAGTCACTGGTGAGACATACAGGTGCTGATGGCAAGTAGTCAGCACTGCATTTCTGGAACTCAGAAGAGCAGTTGAGACTTCTGCCACATTTATCTGTCTGTATAGGTGATCTGTGCAGGAGCCATAAGAGCAGATGAAGAGGACTTTTGATATAGTCAATTATTCTTAGTCTTATGATTCTGAAGAGACATTAAAAGTCATTTTGATCATTTCATGATCACCTGAAGGAGCTAAGGGGACTAAGGGGGGGAAGTGAAGGGGCTTTTGGGAGGGTTTTGGGTTAGACCAAGAAAGGCTGTTCAGGCTGAGAAGCAGCGGGTGGGGTATCCAAGGTAATGCCTCTGCCTGTATTTGTGCCAGTGTCTGGCCCCTGAGCCTCTCTCAGTGGGATCTGGGTCAGTGTGCTGAAGCTGTGAGGACATTTCCATTGGGAGGGACCAGTAGCAAATCTCTCAACCCCGGCTAACCACAAGGAAGTAAGGCTCAGGTGAACCAGGAAGAATCAGGACCCACTGGACATCTTTAAATGGAAGCTGCAGGTCTACTTTTTTGGGAATATGAGAGGATTCCCGACTAGTTACAAGTCTGGCTAGATGCCCCCTCCAAGCGCTGTGATTTTGTAATTTAAGTCATCTGGTCCAACAGAAACCTGGGAATCAAAAGACTTGAATTCATTGATTTTTGAGATGAAAGGAAGCTCAGAGGTCATCTAATTTCCTCATTTTACAGATGAGGAAATTGAAGCCTAGAGAGGTAAAATTGTTTGAGAGTTACTATCCATTTGACCTTGGGAAAGCTGTTCAACCTCCCTGATCCCCA